GGGGCCAGAAAATGTGAGATTTGGTCGGGGAATAGGGTGGCTTAAGAGAGGCACGCCAAGACTGAGGAGAGACTGTTATTGGGCCCCGGCCTGTGCTTCTAAGGACGTTTGCCTAATCTTCTTGTCGCCTTGTCTTGGAAGAATATAATCCCAGTTTTCCAGACGGAAATCAGCTACAAGACACAAATTTGATCTTATGCCATATACTCTCTAATCACTAGCCAAGTCCATCTATCATATTTTGTGGATAAAAGTATTACAGATTGTTGTACGAATAATGCACGTTAACAAGTGATATAGCACATAAGAATAGCTTCGGTAGAACATGATAAGGATAGTTGGGTTAGGGACTGGAATTGGCTAGAATGATTGGATGGGAAGACGACACATCCATAGCTCGGTTTAGTAAGATTATTAGCAACTGGGACCAATAAGAGTATTAACGGCTCGTTTAGTGAGTGTTAGTAGCTCGGCCTAGTAAGGGTGCTAGTCAGGGGCGTAGACAAGGCTGGGCTCACCCGGACTCCAGCCCGATCTTAAATAAATGATATTTGGATATGTGAATCTATAATTTAATTTCATTAATGTGCGTATCACATTCAATGAAACAACATTAAAATTCCACAACCGAAGTGAAATATCATATAACAAGTATGTTGGGTTAACTTGCATATTCAATAAAATGACATTTAGACTTCCACAATTTAAGTGAAACATCATATAACAAGTATGTTGGGTTGACATGTGCTTAATAAAATGTCCATCTCATAGTAGTATTTAAAATAATATAAGTCAATTTTTAGTAGAAAATAATAAATTACGCGGAGTACTATTTTTTGAATAAAAAATTACTATACCTAAAAAAAATCTACAAGTTTTTGTTAAATGCTATTGATCTCCGTATTAGGGGTGTTCACGGTCCGGTTTTAACCGAAAAAATTTGTCAATTCGGACCGCGGATCGGTTAAATGGTCGGTTAAAAAGCCTTAAAAATCCGGTGGTTAATTTTTTTAAAAATCTGAAATAACCGGTCCGGTTAACGGATTACATGTGGCAAACCGTCGGTTTAACCGGACCGGACCGGACCGGTAAATGTTAGAAAACTGTAACAAATATATATAACATTCAATCATTCACTATGGCCGACAAATACAATACATTCACTTTCACTTTTTGGCCTTTTTGCATAATTTAATCTTCATCATTTTTGTATTTTATGTTTACGGGACGAAATGTGTATTTTTATGCTTATGGGACGAATTATGTATTTTTTACTTCATTATTATTGTTTTTCTTAATTTTTAGGCCCAAATAATTTTTTTTTTTTGGCCCAAAACTGAAAAATAAAAATTAAGCCCAAAATGAAAAAAATAAAAATTGAAGGCCCAAAACAAGGATTTTGGATTTAACCGGTTAACCGCCAAACCGGACCGTCCAATGCGGGCCGGATTGTGGCCGGTTAAAAAATAAAACCGGTTCGGTTATGGACAAGAAAAAAATTAACCGTTGGGTCCGGTTTGATCATGATTTGGGCTAAAATCGGACCAATCCGGACCGTGAACACCCCTACTCCGTATAAATGCGCCTAAAAATAATAACATAACGTGTTTTAATTTACTACAATAACATGATATCTTTTAATAATTTATTTTTCATTCGTTTTGTAATTTACATTAAACACTTAAGAAAATATCATACTCTGAATTTTTAAACGTAACAGTAGTGATATTATTGAAGTCAGATTGAGTCGAATACGTCATGTGCGAAAGTTGTGCTCGTTTAATAAATGAGCATATTTGGTTTAGACCATTTAATAAATCCAGTTTAATCAATAAGCTACGCTCGTTTTAATTAAATTTCAATTTTATGTTTTATTATATGAATAAGTTGAGATTGACTTTTTTACGAGCTGAACTGAGTTGTTCTCCTTAACAATTCGGCTAGCAGCCCAGGGTCGAAACTATTTCTGGCTACGCCTCTGGTGCTAGTTCGACACTCTAAGTAGCTCGGCTAGCGGTAGTAGCTCGGAACAGTCATAAGGGCTTGTAGGTTATAGCTCGACTTAGGTGAAGCTTGGTACAAGGAAAAATTAATATAGTAAGGGGCAATATAGCAAGAATAGAGAGCTGAATCAGCATGAATTGGTATAACATGGAGGCTCTATAGATACTAACTGACCTATGATGGACTAAAGGTCGAGCTAATATGGCAGTTGTAAAAATTGATCCACATGGGACATGTGCAGGGTCATGATAAAAAGGAATATGCGATCAAACTGACGAAGAACAGAGCGTACGGGGAAACTGCCAATACAACCTAAGCTGAGAAACTTCATGTGGAGGATGTACAATGGGATTCTGGGGGTCAAAGTCAACTTGAGAAGAAAGGGACTGGAAGTGGACTGCATTTGCTCAATTTGTGGAGAAGCTCAAGAGGATGCACAATACCTATTTGTGGATTGTCCAAAAGTAGTAACATGCTCGAAGCTTTTGGGTGTGAGCTGGGCAACACTTCATATCAGACATGGTAGTATACAAGAATGGTGGGAGGAGGTGTGCTCTAGTGGTGATCATGATCAAATACAGGACATAATTACCATCTCTTTATGCCTACTTTGGAGAATTTGGAAATAAAGAAATAATGTGTACTTCAGATAGGAAGATTTCAAGGAGGTGAAGGTGGTTGAGGGAATTAGAAAGGGATTGGCTGGAGCTTTCCATGATGGATAGTCTAGAAAGGCAAAACCCTACCAAATTACTTAAACCTACTTCTGCTACTGAGGATAATTTTTCCCAGAAGTTAGCTTATGTTAATTTTCATATCAGTGCCCTTATCTTTTCAACTGGCAAGGTAGGAATAAGAGGTGTAGCCTTGAAAAATGGAATTGTGATCAGAGAGTGGCAGAGTCCATTGGACATGGCAGATGACAAACTGCAACTCTTATTTTGGCAGTCAAGTGGATGCTGGATAAGGTAAAAGATGAAGGTTGGAAGAAGGTCAAGTGTTTGTGGACCAGGATAAAGAGTGACATGACTTTATAGGTGTTAAATCTTGTAATACCTCCCTCTTTTCTATTTGGCGTGACATTAGTATGCTTAGTACTTGTTTTGATTTGTGTTTGTTTCTTTTCCCTTGTGTTGTTAGTGAGTTTGCTAGTGGTTTAGCCTTGATGGCTTTGGAGGGAGAGTAATGTTGTGACTCTCCCATTGTACTCTTAATGTTCTAGTCGGTTCTGTTAGAAGGGGAACTGTATAACAAGTTGGTTATCGTCTGTATATCTTGAGGTTCTAATATAATTTGTTCGATTGAAAAAAAAAATAAAATTTCAAGCATCCCCTTAACTATATTCTAACTTTGTTTCTTTACTATTAGATAGATTAACACGGAGCACTCTCACCTTTGCAATCCATTTTGACTCCGGAAGCAAGGAATTTTATACTGAGTAATGCTATAAGTACATAATATTGTATATAGGGGTGTACATAACACTCACATTGAGTGGGACCCACCAAAAATAAAAATTAAATGAACCTCACTCCATGTGAGTGTTATATATGTACACCTCTATGTACATTTATTATGTACTTGTAACATTTTCTTTTATACTGCAATTAGTTATTGGAAGCCGGTAAAAATCCAAAATGCAACGGAGTTGCGTGTTGGTATGCCCTTAAAATTCTTTTGTGCAGGAAAATAATAGTGAATTTTGTGATGTTAGGTCATTAATATTTGGTGTGCCTGGTCCAAATGGGCATGTTTTCTTTAATAAAATCAACCTAAAAAAAGAAAAACACGTATCTTTCTGGAGCCCATAATCTGCCTTGAAGTTTTTTGTTGCCCATAATCTGCAAAAACCTAGCCGCTCGAGTCAAAGCTCGAGTCGAACTCATATTTTGCATTGTCGATGATTGAGATATATGTTAAATTACTAGAATACACCTAATGTATTTAATGGTAATTTTATTTTTCCATTAAAATTGGTTGTTTTAGAAAAATGGTAATTTTATATCCAATCACCCATATTACCGGAAAAATGGATTATTTTAGAGAGTGCATTTTATTAGTTCTAACTTTTAAATTCTCGTGTCAAGTTCTAAAATCTGGATATCGCTTACTAGTTTTAAATGAAATCATTAAATTAATAAACAACCATAAGCCAATTTTGAAAGTTTTATTTTATTCAAGAAAGGCTCCAATTTTAAGGCCCTTTTATTCCAATTTTTATTTTTATTTTATTTTTTTTTCAAAAAGACGAAAATTCAAGAACCAATAAAAAAAACACCTGATTAACTATTCATAAACTTTCTAATTAGAAAAATATTATTTTGTAAATGTGAAAATACAATAAAAATTATAGGGCAACTGCGTATTTCTCCCATTAAAAACCCAAAAAAAAAAAGAAAAACAAATCAGTTCTTGAAGCCCAACGCATAACGCAAATAATGTGTTCATCTTAGAATTACTGTAGCATAGCCCATTAACTGGTGGCCCAATGAAAAGAAAGAAGAAGAAAAACAAATATATGCTCCCATTTTTCTAAACTATTTTGTAGAATACGATAATATAAACAAATCATTTATAAATGAGGGGAACCAGTAAAGTCCGTCACGATTTGTTATCGTAGATTATCCGTACAACATAACCTAATTTTTTTATCCAATGGTGAAAAATAGTAAAATACTGACGATATCGTCCCGTAAGGAGACCTTATTATTTTCATATCTAGATAAATTATAGTTAAAAAGTAATACTTTTAAAAATTACTAACAAAAATAAACCATAAATTTATATATTTATAATTTTTATAATTTTTTTTATAACTTAACTTATATATATAAATACTCAAATAAGAAGAGCCCAAGGCAATATACCCAAATTTGAAGCCCCAAATAGTAATATTTCAAAATCTGTCACCACTCCCCATAGAAAGGTGCACTAAATCACATCAATTCTGATTTTTGACCGTTGAGAGCCCTCTTCACCCTTTCCAAGCCGCAAAAATGGTGACTCCGAACAATATACCGCCGGAAAACATCGCCGCCGGCGAAGAACAATCGCAACAGCACACCATGGAGCAAAAGGGTCTTTCCGACCACAATAAGTCGGAGTACGAGCTCACGAGAGAAGAAAGGATAAAGGAAAATCGAGAGAGAATGCAGAAGCTAGGGCTTGTCGACCTTTCCCTTAAACTCAATGCTCTCAAGACCCCTCCGAAGCGAGCTTATCAGAGAAAAAATCCAGCGGCTCAGTCTCCTTTGCCTCCTTCTGGCCCCATCCGGCGCTCGTCCAGGTTCTTTAGCTTGCTTTATTTTCGAATTTCAGTTTTTTTGTCCTATTTTTTTTAGTTGAGTATGCTTGTCTTAGTTGAGGCTTCAGATGATTGATACGGTTCATTAGCTGGGTTTAAAGCGTGGCTTTTTGTGGGTTTTGGATCTTGTTCACCATCGTGTGGACTGTGGCGCTTTTGTTATCTATTGTATTTTGTTTGAACTCTAAAAAACCAGTCTTTCTATGTAGAGAAGCTTAGAATCATTTTTTTTCTTGAGCTTGCAAGCATTCCTTGAGCTAAAATAGTGATGTTATATGAAATACGGTCTGTCTTTACTGTCACTTGCAAAAAAAAAGATAGATTTTTTCTAGTCCATTTTTCTAATTGAGTATGTTTTTGTTGGTTCCGGATTCAGATGATCGATATGGTTCTATGTACCGGGAAAGTATGGTGTTTTGTGGGTTTTGGATATTGTTCACTGTCATATAGCGATTTTTGTTAGCTACTGTGTTTTATTCTTTTGTCGAGAATGTCGATTGACTTATGGCAGCAAGGGATTAGCTTCTTAGTGTTTCCTGACATTTTATATTTTCCAAACTCTAAAAATCGAGTATTTCTCTAAAGAGAAGCTTAGAATCACTTTTCTTGAGCTTGTTATCGTTTCTTTGAGCTTAAATGTTATATTATATTCAATATGGTTGGTCTGTACTGTATCCCGTCTAAAGAGATGTTTTTTTTTTTTTTTTTTTTTTTTTTCCATTTTTAGTTGAGTATGTTTTGTTGGTTCCGGATTTAGATGATTGATACGGTTCTATGTACCGGGAAATGGCGTTTTGTGGGTTTTGGATCTTGTTTACTGTCGTGTAGCAATTTTTGTTACCTGTTGTTATTTTATTTCTTTGCCGGGAATTTCGACTAACTTATCTCAGCAAGTGTTTAGGTTCTTAGCATTTCCTGTCATTTGAAGAGTGTTTCCAGACTCTAATAACCGAGTTTTGTCTAAACAGAAGCTTAGAATCACTTTTTCTTTTTACCTTGCAGCATTCCTTTAAGCTTAAAAAGTTGATATTATATCGAATACAGTTGGTCTTTACTGTCTCCCATCAAAAAGATGGATTTTTTTATTTTTTTTTTCCTTTTCTTTAGTTGAGTAAGATTTTGTTGGTTTCGGATTTAGATGATTGATATGGTTCTATGCAACTAGGAAATGACATTTTGTGGATATTTGACCTTGTTCACTCTCGTGTAGCAAATTTTTGTTATCTATTGTATTTTATTCGTTTGTTGGGAATTTTGACCGACTTATCTCAGCAAGGTTTTAGCTTCTTAGTGTTTTCTTGAGTGTCTTCTGACGTTTAGAAAGTGTTAAAAAAAACTAAACGATGAGTCTTTAGAAAGTGTTTTCTTGAGTGTCTTCTGACATTTAGAAAGTGTTCTCTTCTGAATTCTAAAAGACGAGTCGTTTCTGTAATGAAATGCTCAGAATCACTTTTTCTAGTGCATGCAGGCATTAAATTTGAGCTAAAACATGATATTTTATCAAATACGATTGGTCGTTACTGTCTCCAGTTAAAAAAAGATGGACTTTTTTCATCAAGTTTTTGTCTTATTTTTTTTTTTTTTTTATTTGGTGGTGCCATAGGCTACATAACTCAACTCCTGTTAGCTACTGTGAAGTGCGTGTGACGGAGAAAGAAAAGCCCTTACATAGCAAGGACTTTCTGAGAGAAGAAGGCTCGAAACCTGAACTTTACACTGAAGAACACGAAAAATTGCTCGGAACCTGTGAAAAGAGTTGGACTCTTTTTGTCGATGGATATGGGAAAGATGGGAAGCGAATTTATGATCCGGTTAAGGGGAAAACGTGCCATCAATGCAGGTCGGTAATATCTCTTTCCTCACGGTACTCTTTTATTATCGTTCTGTTCAGGGTTGAACTTGAAATGCTTGTCACACGCAGAATAAGGTTCGATTTTCTGAATTCTGATCTTTCCTTCTTAACTTGACTAGACTTTACGTTCAAGTGAACATATTGAGAGTTGTTTCAAAAACTGTGCCATTCTTGTCCATATGCATTAGATCTTGCTTGATCTTTTTGTTTCTTTTAGCTCTATGTGTGCACGTTTAATCCCGCCTTACTGTTTCAGGCAAAAAACTCTAGGTCACCGTACGAACTGCAGCAAATGCAGCATGGTTCAAGGGCAGTTCTGTGGCGATTGCTTATACATGAGGTATAATAAATCCGGATATGAAGAACCTCCGTAATTTTTTCTTTCTTCCTATCTCTTTGTTTGCATGTACACTTCTACTGTGTTTATAAGAACAATAATAGTTGTATTGATAACACAAAAATGAACAAAGAACATCATTTCCTAAAAACTAAAACTTTCTTTTGCAGATATGGGGAGAATGTGCTCGAAGCCAATGAAAATCCAAACTGGGTTTGTCCAGTTTGCCGTGGGATTTGCAACTGCAGTTTGTGCCGGCAGGCAAAAGGGTGGGCCCCAACCGGGATTCTTTACCGAAAGGTATATATACACACTAACACTAGTTAGATTAATAATTCCTTTACATTATCTTCTACAAAAAGCTCATAAGTTTGTTCATCTTTTCAGATTTCAAGCGTTGGTTACAAATCCGTGGCGCATTATCTCATCCAAACGCGTCGTTCGGACACTGCTTCAGACAAAAATGCAGTCGTCACATCAGCAAAGAGGTCTCTTCCCTTTTCAGAGATTGAGGAAACTAAAGTCGAAAATGACCTTAACACAAAGGTTGACTTTTTGGTCACTCGTGAGCCAGAGGAGACTGGCACAGAGATGAAAATTACCGTAGAGCCCTTGAATGATCATCAGCCTTTGCTAACCGAGCCCAACGAATGCCTTAAAGATAAAGTACCTAAATCTCTTGAGAAAAAATGCAAGGATATTGAAATCGAGGATGATCTTTCTGAACGCGAAAAAAGTGCACAAAGTGGAGATAAATCCTATAAGCTTGCTGATGTGGACAGTATTGCCAGTCGACTGAAAATGCGAAGAAGGGCTTAAGATTCAAGGGATGATATGATAAATTTTTTGATCAACCTCTCTATAATGCTGCACGAATCCTTTTTGTGAGGTAAAAAAGGTAATATTTTTGGGGAACCCATTCGAAGTGAACTCTTGGATATAATTGTCCATTCGAAAAACAACAAGAATACTATTCGTGCTTAGAAGGTTATTTTGAAACGTGACGTTTAGAATGAATGCGCGGTTATTAGACTTCTCTAGAAAGTCCATATTTTGAAAGGCCTTTGCTTCGTACAATTCCAAAAGTGCGATCGGACATGAACATGTAATGTTTTAGCATGTTGTGATGATAGATTGTGTGCTTTGTCTGTTTCATAACGGACTTGTTTATCTTTAGCTTGAAAATTTTGCATCTCACAATGATTTATGTGAAGAAAACAGGAAAAACCAGACATTATTCACTGGATATGCATACTTTTATACTGCGATGTCATACTCGAAATAACTACACAAAAAAAAAAAAAGAAATTATGACATTTATTAGCATAAATGCATGATTTCTTTTCTTAAAAATGTATGACCAGTCGACCCGTCTAATGGTTAGGTTGAACCGGATAAGAATTTGTGATCTACCAAAAGCGAAGATATGAAAGATGACCCCAAAGCAAAAGGCACTTGTTCAGGAAAAAAGGATCCACCTTCTTCTCAATTATTCACAAAATGGAGTTTGTTTCAAATTCAAATTGACATAAAGCACACAAGGTAGGCCTTCCAAAGTACAATATTTGTTCCACCTATAATCCATATGTGAAAGTTGGTGCTGTTAAATTAAATGAGCTTGGCTCGACTCGTTAAGGCTCGAGTTCGAGACCTTAACGAGTCGAACTCGAGTTCATTTAAAGCTTGTTTGGCTAGCGAGTCGAGCTCGGCTCGTTAACTCGAAAATTGAATTTTTATATAATTTTTTGTTGTTCGGCTCGTTAAAGCTCGAAATCGGCTCGTTAAGGCTCGAACTCGAGACCATAACGAGCCGAACTCGAACTTGATTTCAGGCTCGTTTACTTAACGAGTCGAGCTCGGCTCGACTCGTTAAGGACTCGAGCTCCAGTGTGAGCACCCTAAGCTCGAGCTCGGCTCAGCTCGGCTCATTTACAGCTTTATGTGAAACCAAATTTATTCTTTAGACCCTGATAATTAAATAAATGAGATAAACGACCACATGAGGTACATTTATTACTGGCCAACTTACTGAAAATGACTGAGATATATACAAAAAGAGTCGCAGAATTAATTGCATATATGCATTCACTTAAAAAAAAAAAAAAAAAAAAAAAAAAAAAAAAAAACTTGCCAACAATTTGCAATTTCGCAAAATATTCAAATTTGATTTACTTAAAACATGTCAAAAATTTCGAATATGCCTTGTTTGGGGTGGATAATAAAAATTTCACCTTTCTGCACTAGCTTCATTTTTAACCTTTCTTCTTCTTTTTTCACTGCAAATTATTTAATGTGTGTTCAATTCCCTTTTGTGATGGTATAAAATGACTGTTGTAATTTTTCAGTTTATTATTTGGTCCCCAAACATAGAAACCTACCCAACCACTTCACTGCTACTCTATTGGATATAATGTGTTTACATTAACTAAATGAACATCAATATATATGATGCTCGACTCACGTTTTTGCTATGAAGTCAACGGTTGGTTCTATAGTGGAGTCAATCTTCTATATACAACAAATAAATCTACCATATTTTCTGATTTAAGTTCTTTGATTACTTAAATAATACTAATATAATTTTATTAATATAGTAGGTTTATTTGTTGTATATAGAAGGTTAGCTCCACTATAGAGTCAACTGTTGGTTTTATAGCAAAACCGGCTCAAGTTTACCCGATTTATGAAATATGCACAAACTAATTAAAATGAATCAAGTGATGCTTAAAGATGGAAAATTAATTTAACATGAATTGTACAAACTTAAAATGGACCAATTGGTGCTTAAAGACAGACATTAAAATTAATTTTCCCCAAAATAATGGTGAGCCCAAAGAGGCAACGTGGACAACAGGGAAGAAGTTTTAGAGGTGGCATTAATTGTGTCTGTCTGTGTAATGAGTCAAAATAAAAAAAATTATTTTTACATATTTTGTCGTACGTACCCCGACGATGCACGGAGTAGAAATATTAAATCAGTTACTTTCACAAACTTTGTCGTTTAAGTCTAAAAAATAAGGTTATCGTCTATTTTCACCTATTTTAATCAGTGCTAAGTCTAAAAAGCAATAAAGTTATAATCTATTTTATCTCTTTTAGTCAGCGTTGTTTTTTTAGCCAGAACATTCGATGTGACCATATTAGGCTAGCTTATAAATAACTATTCATATACACATTAAATAATAAAAATCACTTTTTTTGTTGCTTATATACTAAATGTTTGTCTACATATTACTTATAAATCAATTACTTTTTTTATATAATAAAAAAGAATATTGTTAAATGGTGTAGTAGAATTGTTATAAAATTATATGAATTATTTTTTATACAATATGGATTTAATATCTTTTTATGATTTAATAATATAACTATAATATGTTCTTAATGATATAATAATACGAGATACGGATTTACATAATACTATGGATTTATTCCTTAACGTTAAAATTTGAATTAGGTAATATATTATTCACTAATTTGTACTATGTCTCTTTTATATTGAAAATAATCATGTGATTGAGTAGAGATAACAATTATCTATAAATTCCTTCATTGAATAATTTTTAAATTGGTCCAAGTTTTGAATGCAACCCGATTTTCTTGTAACTAAAATGAGAATAGATTTTGAATTTCATATTTCACTTGAATATCTGTCTAAATTTTCAAAAATGAATTCAACAAAACCCATAATTTTAGGGGCTTTTAATGCTACCCTGTTTTATGATTTAAAAAATAAAAAAACTTTCTAAATATGGTGTGCAATAATCCAACATTTGCACTAACTTTCGCTCCAAATTCCCATCCGCCCCAAATCGTAACCCTAGCCTCCATCCATTTCTGCCGGTTGCGCCTCCTTCGGCTGCCGTCTGGGTTGTCGGAGGACGGGTCTCCACCGCACAACCAAGTTCTGGTCGCGACGCTCTTATTCTCCCGTCGTCTGCTGAAGGGTGCGGGTGGGTTTTGACAGGTGGCTCGGACCTGTGTGAAGACCACCAGTGTCCCGAAGTAGAGCGGTACGATGGAGGTCTGCGCCAGGAGATGGTGGTGGTTCGGACTGCCTGCGCTCTCGTCGGGTTGTGGCGACTCATCTCTCCGGGCTCTGAGGTTGCGTTGCTCTGGTCATGATCCCTTTCCACTATTGGGGTTGTTTCGCGACCTCCGGTCGCCGGCATCTCGACGTTGTGGGAATGATGGGTTGGGTTCTGTTTTTCGAGGCTGGGCGGAGTGTGGGACGCTCATTCGGGCTGTGTAGGTCTGGTGGGTCTTCGACGCCATTCGTTCCTCTTCCTACCTTGCTCTCTGTTTCGGAGTCCGAAGGAGGCCAGCCGTTTCCGGAATGGGCTAGTGGTGTTAGTCGATATCGGGACAGTGATGGACTGGCTAGTGGTGTTAGCCGGTTGGAGGGCAATTGTGGCTTCTTACGGCCGGAGAGCGGGTCGATTTGTTTGGATTGATTCGGGACTCGGGTCCTCGTTTTTGCTAGGCGTTAGGCAGTGGCAGGCGTGGGTCCTGTGCTTTATTAGTTTCTCTCCTTGGAGTTGGCTTTTGTTTTCTGAACATTTCGGATGTTCTACCGAGGGAGGGCTTCGTTCTTTTAGTTTGTCGTTAGGTTTTAGTTTTGTTTTCCAGTTTGTCCGGTTAGTCTTGTTTAGTCTTGTGTTTGTCGTTCAGTCTTGTGTTTTGGTTTGGGTCGTTGGCCCCTATGATTGCCCGGATAGTGAGTGAGCATTACTCTGTTGGGGTCGTTTTCTCTTATTCTCCTCTTGGGAGCTTTTAGTTTCTGTGTTTGTGTTCTAAGGTGTCGCCGAGTATTCTAGCATTGCTAGCTTTCGGATTTAGGCGGTCTTCGGACCTGTCCTCCTAGTTTCTCAGTCGTTGGTTGTATATTCAGCTGGTGGATGTATCTTTGCACCTTTGTGCCTTTATTTATAAGACCTCTATTGTTTCGATCAAAAAAAAAAAAACAAATGGTGTGCAATTAATTACATTTGACTTTTTCTTCCTACTAATTCTAGTAAATTAGATGGTTTTTTATATAAGTATAGATTATTGTTTTTAGTAGGTTAGCACATGCACAAATTCAAATAAATACTATTATACAGTGTATATAATAGTTACAGTTATAAGTTAGATAATGGTTGTATCACGTTTTAAAATATGTCCGTTAGTAAAATCGAACAATATATATAAACTATATAACTCACATAAGAATCATTATATTCAATGATTCATGACATATATTGTAATAAGAAAAATATAATATTTATGATTTTAAATTATCATGGCAAATTAATTAGCTAAAAAAATTATTATTATTATTATTATTATTTTCTTTTTTTTTTTTTCTTCTTTCAACAAGGTTGTTGTTAGACTGTTCTATCAGCTATATATCCAATATTTTTGCAACATGCACATATCTTAAAATTGGAATGTAATACTCTGAAAATAGCACAAACAATATGACTGTTCAAAACATAAATATAAAATTTTGTTAAAGAAACAAAAAAACTTGACGATCAACCCATTTTTTTTTTTTCCAGAACGATAGAGATAATTATAATCAAAAGGCACAAATGTGCAAGTACAGCCCATAGCTGCCAAAGACAGCTACCAACTAAAAACTGAGAGGACAGGTCAGAAGATCGCCTAGAACCTCAACTAGCCAAGCTAGAATAAAAAGAAACACAAGCCACTACCAACAACTAGAAACCCATCTAAAAATATAAAATTTTGTTAAAAGAAACAAAAAAACTTGACGATCAACCCATCTTAACGGTAAAACTGTATCATACAAAAATATGTGATTTTTTTGGTAATAA